TCCTGGGTTTGCAAAATGCATGGCGGCAGTAGCAAATACCTGGAACCAGTCTATAAACCTGTGGTCCCCGTAGTTGTATGCAGTTCACCATCGCTAACCCCTCCTGTTCCGTTGAATACATCGGATTCCGACGGTGCTCATACTGGTACCATCGCCGCTAAGAAAGCAGGTGCTTCTACACCTGCAGGACAAATCCGCCAGGGTGGTCGAGGTGTTCATCATGTGATTCTGTCGAGTGATACGTTCCAGCAGTCGCCAATGGTCCTCGCAATCCATTAGGTTTGCATGATCTCATTATGAAAGAATCACGATTTTTGTATGATGGTTGTTGCATTTCAAAGGGCCGCATGTGCGACATATACATTCAAGGATGGCAACCTATCCTGAGAATGGCGAAAACAATGCCTTCTTTTTGTCAGGTGGAGCCTTTGGTCGACAAGCTCCTGGACACCCCGGGGCTCTCAGTGAGAGACTTGCAGGTCCTCTTCCGAACAACCAGCAGCCAGCGTTGGTCCCAGGCACTTCGTTTGCTGCAGGCAGGATCTCAGGCCCTTTGCTTGTGTTTGTTTTTTGTTTTTGTCAAGTTGTTTAACGAAAGGACGAGTAGAGTTTGAACTTTGCAAGTTTCTTCTAGTCATGCGCCAAGCAACTCTGAAACGTAAATTGTGCCAATCTGCCCTGCTTGATGTCGAAGTTGTCGTTCAGCACCTTAGTAGGTTTGTTTGCTGCTTGGTTGCTGTGTGTCGTGAAAAACAACGCACGAGTGGCACGACCTGGGCCTGGGGGTCCAGAAGCCACTCACAGCACGGAGCACATGTTCGACACCCAGTTTCTGAGCGATATCGAGGATGGCCGTCGGCCTCTAGACTCGTTTTTGAAAAGGGCTGTGTTGAATTCCAAACTGGGTAAGGTTCTCGAAATGCTTGGCACGCTTCTTGCCATAAGTGCCCATCGCGCGCTCTTCTTGTCGCTTGCTTTGTGTGTGTCTGTGTTTGTGTGCGTGTGCGTGCGTGTCTGTGTGTCTGTGTGTTTTGGTGAAGAAGGTTGGTCCGGTTTGCCATTCGGTCAACCGGCCCGTGGCACTTGAGCTCACCTCCAGGGCTCACAGACCACCCAGAAACGAAGGCTGTGAGTTGAAACAGCTTGGCAGTGTGAGCTTGCAGTTTGCATTGGCCTCAATTGGCCTCCATGGTTTTTCCCGAATGTGTTGGCCGCCGGTTTGCCTTCACGCCTTCTTTGGCCTTTCGGTCCTCTTTCCTTCACGCGAGGCGCTGCGCCTGCGCGGGCGGCCCCCGAGCGCCGCGCTGGGAGACGTGACGCTGGCCTGCGAGCAGGCGGGCCAGTGGCAAGCGGCCCTGGGATTGGTGGAGAGTGCCTCGGCTTCTCGTGGGACGCGGACGCGGTTCAAGTGGTTCACATGGGACCAACGTTTGAGTTGAGCTTTGGGCGGATCAAAGGCGACCAACAAGAAGAAGCCCACTCGGAGGGGAAGATGCAATGTCAATCTATCTTTTCGCGGCATGACTCAAAAGCACACACTATCACACACTGCAGGTGCAGTCCGATGGTGGATGTACGAATTTGCTTGAAAGTTGTGTGTGTGTGTGCCCACTTAGCTTGCACATTCATGGCTTGGGGAGTGGTGTTGGGCACAATGTTCTTCTTCGTGTTTTACCAAGGATAAATCATATTCCACAAGCCCCCCTTTGTTGAGTGTCCAGTTGCTTGTTCAAGTGACATGCCGCTGGCAGTGTTGTAGACAGGTGTCCGCCGTTGTGCGACATTTTCCCCAATGGATGCTGGGGTGCTTTGTCGGCTGTGCCCCCCTTCCTTGGAGAGATGGGAAGCGCACATTTCATCCCTCACGCCGTGCCTCGCCCAACGCTCTTGCCACACATATTTAGGGCATCTGAGTGAAAACCGGGCCGTGCGCTGGGGCGTGCGAGCCATACCCATTCTTACAATCACACCAAGTTGTGCCATGTTGGTTGGAAGCATGCTTTATCCACTTCCTTGTGCCATGCTCAGCTTGCGTCGTTACCAGCTTCTCGTGGCTTCCACGTGAAGCGCTCCGTGCTTGAGGCATGCGCCTGCATCGTTTGACGTCACGCCTTGCAGAGACTGCCTCAGGGTGGCGGCTCAGAGAGGGCGCGGGCGAGAGTGGACAGAGCCTGTCGTCTAAGCTGCCTGACCGGAACCAACGGGAGGTGGGCGCTGTTAAAAAAGAATGCATTGGCTCCTGAACCTCCTTGGCACGGGCGGGTCTTGCGAATTTCGGGGTTGGAATCCCGCAAACCTGAAGCAGAGCCGTGCTTCGGATTCGCCACACTTGAGCCGTGCCAGGCTTTGGAACTCCGTCTTCGATCAGGGCGCCGAGCAGAGGTATCGCTCGCTGCAGCGGCAGCTTGGCACTGCGTTTGGGAGTTCTTAGCCATGGCCGGCAAGTTCTTCCCGAACAGTTGCTTTCATGTGGCTGTGGGTCAAAACCAATGGTACCATTTTGAGGTAGGTGCACCATCCATTTTTGCCGTCATGGCAGCGTGGTGGTAAGCGACACGCTTGGCTTTCCCATGCTTTCCCTTCTTTATACCTCGGGCGCACCGTAGTAAGATTACTTGCTATTGGGTTTCATGTGTCTGCTGACGTTGACATGGCTTTAGAGCAAATGCCCATCATGTTGCTATGAGGCCATGAGACGTTTTGGCACACCGCGGCCTCGTGACTACACCCTCGTTATGACAGCCTACGGTCGTGTCGACATGTGGGAGGAAGCAGTGGCACTGCTAGATGAGATGCGCTCATGTGCATACGACCCTGGCGTCATCAACTTTAATTGTGCACTGGCGGCATGTGAACGTGCCGGTGCCTGGCAAGCGGCAATGACAATCTTGGATGGTATGAAAGGCTCACAGATTTGCCCGGATCAGTTGAGTTTTATGGCTGTGCTCGGGGCAGTGTCTCAGCAGAGCTTTTGGCAGCATGGGTTGCAGCTGCTCACCGACATGGAATCCTCGAGCGAGGCTCCAGATGCCATGGCCTATTCAGCTGCTATGGGTGCATGTGGGAGGTCCAAGCGGTGGTGGGTTGCAGTTGCATTGCTTGGCAAAGTGAAGTCAAGTGAATTAATCCCGGATGAGGTTATGTACAATACAGTGATCAGCGCATGTGAGCAATCACGCAGATGGCAGCAGGCACTTGCACTCTTGCGCGAGGTTGCCCCGTCAAAGAGCGCGCACGAGGCGAGCCAACCACAACCCGAAGTCGACTTTTTAGGCATGACTGCCCAGGACTGGGCACCGCTGGAAGAGGAACTGCAGCTCAAGGTGGCAGAGGAGGAACAGGAGGATGAAGGGGTGGAGGAGGCGTGGCAAGCATTTCGCAAGACTTATCAACTTGCGGATTTGCCCAAGCAGGAGAAAAGAGACGGTTGGGATGCTGCTGAGCAAGTGCTGCGAGGATTTGAAGGCATTGACCAGCAGATACTGAACGTCTACATCTTTAGCTCCACGATAAGCGCATGCGCCAAAGGCCAACAAGTGGATCTGGCCCTGGAGCTTTTGGATGAAATGGTCTACTACAAGCTTCGCGTGAGTGCCATCCCCTTGTCCGCCATTGCAAGCGGCTGCGCGGATGTTGGACGCTGGCAACTGGCACTGCAGCTGTTAGGTCGGTCTCTGCCGGATGTGCCACTTTTCAACTCAGTGATGTGGGCGGTTGGCAAAGCGCATCGCTGGCAGCAGGCGGTAGCTTTGCTTCGCAATCTTGAGACTGAAAGGCTGAGCCCAACCACTGTCACCTTCAACACCTTATTCTCAATTAGCCTCTCTGCTCATCACATGTGGCAGCCGTTGGCGAGAGCCATGGCTGCTTCAAGGTGCTCACCCGATTCGGTGACTGCCAGGCTTTTGCAGCAGGCGGTGCAACTACGAATCAGCCCAGTGGCTTTAGATGCGCATGAGCTGACAAGTGGGGCAGCAACAATGTGCATCACCTGCATCTGCACAACGTCTTGTTTTCAAGTCCATTGGGTGTGGGTGTGGGTGTTGAAACCAGCAAAACCCGCCCTGATGATTGCCAAGACCGCCACACTAAACGCTTTTGCCCAGCGTTTTCGGCACATATGAATATATCGTTTCAGCAGATTCCCCGCAGCTGTTTGCTCCAGTGCATCGCCAATTGTAAAGATGGCTTTGGCGTGGCGTTTCGCGCCCGGGCATGCATGGGAGGGGCGCAACCAGGGATGTTCGTCGGCACATTGCTTTGGTGTTGTTGCATTGCATGAGTGGCTGAGCGCTGCCCTATAGTATGAAACAGGGAGTGCCCTACCTAAGCGTTGCTAGTTGGTTCACGGTCTTTGTTGAGCCCGGCTTTTTCCACACCTTCTCTCGGGCGGAATTGAATGAAGAGGGCTTTGCGGGCACTTTGTGGATGCGCGCAAAAACATCTACCTCCAAGACGACTTGGCGTCGGTTCAGCCAAAAGGTGCTTTGTTCCAACAAGTTGTGACACAAGGCAGCCCAGTTCAGCAAAGGCCAACCGGCCATCCGCCTGTTTTTTAAACTGACATCCATTTCCCTTGGGTTTGGGGCGTGCCCGCTGCCACTGAGGCGTTGCTCGGTGCGGCAGCGGCCGCCTGTACTGATGGGAGCTGTGAGAAGGGCAAGCCAGGCCTGCAAAAATGTGGCAGGGGATTGGGGAGTGGGGTTGGTGTTGCTAGGGGTCGTGAGTCTTGCGCACTTATGGCTTTGTGTGATGGCTAGTGTTTCACGATTTGTATGGGGGGAGGACTCCGTTTAGAGGTCAATCAGGCAACATGTGTGCATCTTCAGGGGCCGTGTGAGGATCGGGTCGTTTTGATTGTTGACAACTGGTACGCCACTCGTAGGTAGATTTGAAAATAGCTCGCTTATTCTGAAGCACTCCGGTTGTGAGAAGAGAGATCCAAATGCACATATAAAGACAAGGGCCCAAAGCCCACCGAGTTCCAGGTGCGTGTCAGCCTGCACTCTTGAACATAAGCTGGTTGGCGGGCTTCGGGTCGGTGATTGATGTTGACTCGCGAAAGGGCATCGAACACGGGCCCCCTGAGCAGTGCTGAGCAGGGTGGGAGCCTGTTCATCCCAGAGGCGAAAACTGCGCCCTAAGGGGGGTGGGTTTTTGAAAACCACGAAATGTAACCAGTTGAGGCCAAAGTTGCAGAGGGTAAACTCGGGCAATGCTAACTAAATAATATAGATGTTGCATCCAAAAGAACTAAAATGGCAGTTGCCTGAACTTTGTGTGAGCTTCAATCTGCTGGATGACAGGCCTCGCGCGTAGTTGAAACACAAAAGCCCACTAAAACTCGAGTTGTCCAACAAGCCACATTTCAGACCTGTACCCATGTTGGCTGAGTCGGGCTTTGATTTTTGTTGGAAAGCTTAAGGTTGTTTTACGTTAAATGGGACACGTGTAAAACACCTTGAGCAGAACCATAAAACAAAGAAATAATGTTTCAGACCCTATGTAACAGTATTGGCTGAGTTAGGGCGTGTTTCTTTTGACAACTCGAGGTTGTTTCAGGCTTTTGTTTGGAAGTATAAAAAGCCTTGAGAAAACCAACCAAGTCAGACCCTATGTATCCATGTTAACTGAGTTAGAGTCGTTTTCTTGTCTCTTGAAGTTGGCTGGAAAAAACATCCCCGCGCCTTTTCGTTATGTAAGGGGCCGTCCCTTAACTTGTTTCGCAGGCCAAAACCATTGCAAACCGATACTGAGGAACAAAAGAAAGAAAAGAAAAACGATACTCCCCAGAAGCCATGAAGACACACATCAGGTCCAAGTTGTTGTCGCAAAGCAAGATTGCGGAATCACAAATTTGCAGGGCCCAAACCGATACCCAAACCGATACCCAACCGATACCCAGCTCATTAGCCGCCATGCCGTATCCACCAAAATGTACTTTGTGTACTACATTTGTACTGAAAAGTTGCGACTTCCGCGCTGGAGCTGCCAAAATGTACTTCGTATACTACACTATGCTACACTATACTACACTTACTTGCACTGAAAAGCTGCGACTTTGGAGCCGGAGCTGGAAGAGTGTACTTCGTATACCACGCTTGTACGGAAAAGTCGCGACTTTCGAGCTAGAGCTGCCAAAACATTGCAAACTGATGCATGGGAAAAAACCGATACTGACCGATACTATGGGCAAAAGGGTACAAGGGCTGTTCACGGGGTTGTTTTTTAACCCAAGTGTAAACACCTAACAGATCCCTGTGTGAATAGCACACCTCCATGAGGGGCCCTTGTGGATCGCAGGAAGCAAAAAAATATTTGGGCACATGGGTATTTGTCCAGACTTACTTTAATTGGTAGCACTGTCGTGATGTTGTTACAGGACCGCGGAAGCAAGTTTCAGGAGGCATTCTCCTAGGTCAGAAAAGGGGCGAGCAAACCAGAAACATACAATATTATGATTCTGTGTGCCGACGTATGCATCCTGCATTTTTGGCCAGCCAGACACGCCCAGGCGTTTTGCTGATGCAGACGAAGCCTGGAAACCTGCAGAAGGCTTGTTTTGCCAAGTCTTGCAGTCCTGTCCTGTGGTTTGTTTGGTCATCAAACTGGAGTGAGCGACTCGATGTGGGGCCAACAATGGACCAATATTGGCAAGGGCTGAACGTACAGCATAGTTGCTGTTCCAGGGTTGTGCAAAAAGTCGTGCAGTTTCTTGCAAGTATTTGCTGTATTCATGCAGGACGTTATTGTAAACGCTTCACCCTGCCCGCCTCGGCGAATTCTGCTTTTTGATCTTTGTTCTTACTCCAGGGCCAGGCGACGAAACTGGGTAAGCACATGCGTGGCCAGCCGCATTAGCCGGACAGAGCTACAGCCATGGTGAAAAGGCAAGGTGGTGAAGCAGGGCAGCTGGGTCGGGCGGGAGAGGCACAAGGGGTTGGGAAAAAGCGAGAAGACCGGCGGAGGCGAAGTCCGGGCAAGGAACAGGGCTGGGGCTGACGCTAAACACTCGAATGGTGAGCTGCGCAGAGCTGCTGGACACTCGTGAACATGGGTTGGGGCAGGCCAGATGGGGTTTGGGAAGGCCGATGCTCTAAAGATCTCATGAACAGGCCGTTGAAAGAGAGAGAGAGAGGGAGGGAGGGAGAGAGAGAGAGAGAGAGCAAAAACAAAAAAGAGATTCAGAGAGAAAAACATGTCTATATTTACGGTAGAATGCCATGTCCCGGATGCACAGGCTTCTTCCGCGGGCCGCCAGGTTGATCTGACAACCGCGCCCTGTTTGAATTGAGCTTGCTGCTAAGTGCGGTTCCCACGCATCGCATATTCAGCCCCCCCTTTCGACAGCGCTGAGGTGATTGATGAGATCCAGCACTTCGGCTCTAACATATAGGATTCGTCGCCCAGACCCTTCGCGGGCTGGTTAAAGCTTGACGTGCATAATTAGTCTTCGATTGAAGCAGTTTGCTTGAGTGCCAGCACTGAGACAATAAGCTGTAGGTGCGTCCGATAGAACAGACCGCTGTGAGCCCAGGTCCTTGAAGCAGGAGATGACAAGCATGATGACTTCCGTGGAGTCCAAGGCGCGCGGATTTTTGCTTGGTGTTTCAGGCACGACTTTGATGGCCAAGTGCAGGTGAGTTTTCTTCGGGATGAGCTCCCCACTTGCACGTGTCCCATAGCTGATTTCCCATAATGAATCAAACTGTAATTAGAGGCTAGGGATGCTAGGGAGTTGTGCCAGGTTCACTTTAAGGCTTCGCACATGTAGCCGTTGACTGTAGCCAAGGGCGGCTCCGCTATGGCATCCGCAAAAGAGGGGCGAGAAATCGGATCTCAGGCCAGCTGCTGCTGCAACCGAACAGGAAGCTCTGGCTCTGGCACCAAGGCAGGGGAGCCGAAGGGGACAGGTTCTCAAGTTAGGTTTCTTAACGGATGTGGTCGTTTTGTTGGGCTTTTGTTGAAGCAAAGAACCAGGGTTGCGGTTGAACGGCTTTGCGAGCAATGCATGTTCAGGCTTTTGAGCAGTTGTTTTTGTGGATGGGTCATCATGAGCATTTCCAAACTGGTTTCGGATGCCGACATTGGTTTTTGTGTGGTTTGGAATGTTTTGTTCTGTTGTGTTTTTTGTGCGTTTTGGAGCGGAGCGCTTTTGTACACCTATGCCAGCTACTTGTGTGCAATCTCTCCGTAGTCCCTGTTTACCTGTTGCATGAGACGGTTGCCGTTGTTCATGCTGTTCTGATTGTTCAAGCTGAAGGTTGTTTTATGTAGGCTTGCAAGTTGCAAGGCTCTGCTCTTTTCTTCAGTTGTTGGGGGTTCACAGGCTGGGGCAAACACATGCCCGAGCGCGGTTCACATACTGGAGGGCAACCAAGTGGATCATGCACAAACTGTTTGGAGTCGGCGAATTCGGGGCCATCATGAACTTGTTGATCAAGCTTCTTCACTTCCAAGCCCAAGATGCGATTCTTTGAAAGCTTGAGGTCAAATAAAGGAACACGAGATGCGAAACAACATCGATCCTCTACTCATTCGACTCATGGTGCAGTCCCTAAGTTGGACACTCATTTTAGTTTGTGTCGATTCATGTGTAAAGCTTGTCGAGCATATTATGCCCGGTGCTTATGCCATCTTATGGCCACAGAAAAGCGGAAGCTGAGGACAACTCCCTGGCTTCCTTGATCACTCCCGAAAATCAGGTTGCTCGCTCCTAGCTAACATGTCGTCGCTTGCTTGGCCGACGCCCGTGTTGCGTCCCGCACCGCTGGTCCTGAACCTATTGAAGGGGGACATGACCACGTTGACTTCTAGCACTTGAGCAGGTCCGCATAGTGCCTGTGGGCTGATTGTTTGCACCTGTGAAAACGTTTGCAATGCAATGTGGAGGCAGGAAGCCTCGCTAAGCATCCTGTTGGTATGAGGCGTCCATCCCAAAGTGCTCGGAAATCAGAAGTTATGGCTTTTGAACGCATTTGCGTGCTTCCGGTCGAAGGCTTTCTGTGGAATCACCTGCCCAACAGCTGCCCCAGTCACCAAACTGAGAAGCCAGCGACCTTTTGTCCGGGCATCTGAAATTGTTCAACTCGAATGACCTTGGCTGAGACTTGCACCTGAGTTTTGTTTAGGATAAGTTCGGCGCATGCAGGGGCAGAGGGAGTCCATGACGGAACTCGCACCCGTTAAAAAGCTTTGCTCGCGAAGGTGTCCAGTCGAAGCCCCCCCCAAAAAAGGCTACGATTGATTCCCGTTGCCCCTAGACGTGTGAACACACCAAGGCACTTTTTTGCCATTTCCCTTGGCGACTGGGGACTGCAACTGGTAAACTCCTTCACAACTATTGCTTCCTGCCTTTTCCTGCTGGCAGCATTTTTGGAATGAACCAACACCGTCAAAACTTGGGCTCGAGCACATCGGCCACTAGAGCAGCTAAGACACACCATGCTCAAATTATGTGTGCTCTTGTTGCCCTGCAGGTATTCGAACCCGGACTCTGCGCAATTTTTGGCGACCCGCACTTCATCACCTTTGACGGAGCGCAGACGACGGTAGCAGCTGTTCCGCAAACGCTTCGGTTCAGATGCACATTGAAGCAATGAGCGCCGTGCGCTCCGTGTTCTGCATTCGACGTGGTTCTTGCTGTTCCTTGTTGCTGGTAATCCGCAAACTGACAATAGGGCATACAAAGAAACCTGCTCAACATGGCACGCAGCAAGGGGTTGTGGAAAATGGTGACTAATGCATTTGAATAGCCGAGCAAGCTCTTGGTCATGTGTTTTGCTTTCAGTGGGACGGTCAGCCTGCACATTCACTCAATTTGAACGGAAAGGGGGCCAAGGGGGAGCCCGCACTTCACAGATCCTGACATGGGAGCAAGCTTGGCCGCTCTGCCCACGGTGTCAACTCCAGCCTGCAAGTGAGGGTTGAATGGGGGTTGCAGCAGATTTCCGCACAGCGCGCAGTGACAAGTCCCGGGCAAATGGCCATGGGACACAAGCTATGGCTCCATTTTGGGGTGGATGAACATCCATTTGCCACCTATTTTGATGTTCACGAGGACAGGGTTTGACCACAGCCAAGTTGCTTGCCGAGGTGGGCGACATGGTGCAGTGGCTGGTGAAGAGTGACAGTGTCTACATGCAAGCCCTCGCCAGAGGAAGCGAGGCAGCTGGCACGGTTGCGCTGTACGGCGGCCTTTGATGCTCTCTCACAACATCTCATGCAGCTGTTCTCGCTTGATCATGGCATGTTCGTAAAAAGTAGTCCAGTCCAGGAGAAAACCAAACGGAAATCAAAAGCAATCTAAAGGAAACTCCAAAAAGAAACCAAACGGAAACCAAAGGGAGGCAAAAAACGAAACCAAAGGGAAAACCAAAAGGCACACAGAAGGGAAACCAAAGGGAATCCAAAACAAACCTCAAAGAGGCAGCTTACAAGCTTGGAATCTTATGACCCAGAGGCGGTTGATCGCGTACGTGCCACGTAGGCACCGTTGCCAGGGAAGGATGGAGGGCTTCGCGGTGGGCGGGCCCTTCCTCTATGGCCACACCTTGGTGATTTCCAAGGAGCCCAATGGCGAGGCCATCAGCGTTGCCTATGATGGCAAGGACATCCTGCAGGCGGATCTATGGCTCAAGGATCAAAGATCCTCACACAACGCAGCTGATTTGGGGGGGTCCTCATCAGCCACGTTTGGCTTACAGGGTCTTTTTGTACATTGTAAACCCAAGCATCATGAAATGGTGTCAGGCGTCAGCGCTATACATGCAAAAGCATCATTTCTTCAGCCATACAAGTGCTTGCTTGATACATATTGACACCTTTAGAGTTGAAAGGAGCCTCAACGTTACGGTCTGCTTTGAACTCCTCGCCAGGGCGCGGTGGACGAGTTCCATGTGCCCAACGTTCTGCACGCATTCCGAAGACAAACCTGGGACTCAAGTGTCTTCGATGAGCGGATCCTCAGCCTGCGGACGAACATGAGGTTGCGTGGCGATGAGTGTTTCTTCTGCTTGCCATTGAGGCCCTGTTTCACAGCTTGGTTGATGCTTTCAACGTTTGGCCTTGCAGCATTGTGGGGGGTCCCCTAAAAAAGGCACCCATTTGGCCCAAAGATCACGTGCTAGCCAACCAAAAGATTTCGGAAGCTCTGGGCCGGCTGCCCAGGTTTGCTGTGGGCGAGTTTGATGGGCGCTTCCAGGGCGAGTTGCCTCCCAGCGGCCTCATGCTGCCCTGAGCTCAGCCAGCAAATTTCAGTCCTACAGGGCGTCGTCTTGACAAAGGAACTTGAGGGCCTGAAGCTTGATGCATCAAGGTTCAGGCTGCCGAAGGGCATTGATGTGACCATCTCTGGAGTGGACTACATGTCTGTGGTGGTCTCTATGGCTCAGGAGGTGGGGGGAGCTGCATTTTGGCTCGCGAGGCATAGCAAGACACCGCTTGAGCGGATGAGGTTTCGGGCCTCCCTGTATGAAATGGTTTATTTCATACCGACCTTCGAAGGCACAGCCATGTATGCTATGTACGCATGCCGTGTCCTGGCTGACCCACCTCCAGGATTGAACATCCGAGTCGGTAATTTAGGTCCTACCGCGCATACCTTGGAGGTCACCGGGCAGAGTGGCTACTGCGGGAACTTCAACGGGGATCCGGACGATGACGCGGAGCCCGTGGTGCCATCCTGGGACCGACCCATTGGCGACAACTTGGAGCCAGTGCCGGAGGTCGGGCGGTCGAGCGGTCGAGCGGTCGAGCGCTCGTGCCGCGTTTGCAAACCCGCAGGTTCAGAGGGTGAGTGGAACTCGCAACTGCCACGAGGCTAGCCATGGGCAACCATTCTAACATATTCTAACCGTTCGTCAGAAAAACAAAGTTGAATGTGCTTTAGGTGGGCAGCACTATCAGTCAAATATTGTGTTTCCAGAAGTTCTCATATGAACACCAATGGTTTTTTTGCGTACATATTCTGATTGGTCACTTTGTGAGTTGCTGGTTCGTAGGGACTTTTCAAGTGGCCATCAAGCCAAATTTGCACTCAGAGGCGATGGCATGTTGCATGCTTGGTTTATTCGCGATTGTTTCGCAGCCCCTCGCAGGCTGCTTGGCTATTTCCCAGCGAGACAGTTTTGCTGACGCTCGGCGACGCGTTGAAGGTGCACAAGACTGAGGTGCCTGAGCGGCACCCGTTGACTGTGACCGATGATGCCGGTGCTGCTATGCAATTGCATTGGCTAATTATTGACATTAGTACTATGGAAAATGTTTTTGCGGCTTTGTGGTGGTTTTGACGGTAGTCGCACCGCCGATGGTCATCACCATGACAGTCATTGCCAATGGCGCTGTCATCATCGTTGTGCATCTCATCAGCGTAAAGCAATCCACCGTTTTGCCGTCGTTATCACCCATGTGCACATCACTTTGCTTGTCGTCATCTTTGTCATCGTCGATGTGTTCAGAATCGCCATCTTTGTCACCTAGTTGACCATCCGCTTGATGAT